GATGCTGGCTGGCTAGGAGAAACAGCTGAAGAAGCTGGCAGTGGCAATGTCTGCTGCTCCACTGGCAAGGACAGCGCATGTCTTCCAACGCTGCCTCTTCTGACCAACTCAAAACTAGTATCTTTCCTGTTGTACAGTTGTCAATGCAGAAGTAAAAATAATACTGAGTAAACAGCGAGAACCAGGAGAGATATCGCTGTAAGGATGAAGCAGGAGTACTGCTTAATTGTTCGTGGGAGAGAGAGCAGGGATATCCCTTCACTGAAGTGAGTGTCATGCTATCAGGAATGATCAATATCACGTGGAAATGGGATAAAACTCTGGGAGCACACTCTAGAGCAGCGTCCAGGGGAGACACTTTAATGAGTCTAGTTTTATGACTACTTTAATGAGTCTAGAGTCTAGTTTTCTCTGGAAGGTACATAAAGCCGACAGGCGCTGGCAGCAAGCATATGGCTTGTCATGGCACTCGGCTGACTGCAGTTACGTATAGGTACACAAGGCTTTTGCAGCCAACAGTTACAGAGCTGTCGAGGTGAAGCCCTGCTCTCTTTGGAGGTGGGAGCACTGAACCTAGACCAGAGCTGCATGCTTCCCACTCAGACTCGCAGCTGGGGGTGCTGGTGATGCCTCCATGGTCCTGTACTGAGCCCAGGATGCCATGGTCCGGCGCAGGAGCTAGAAGGGCTCTGTCCCTGCCAGCTGTGGTGCCAGGGGAGAGGGGAGAGCTGAGCAGACCCAGGAGCCTGAAGATTGAGGTGAGCTTTTAGATATTCCAGCCTTAAACAAACTTAAGGTCTTGAAAAACTTCATTTGATGTATAAAATGGAGTCAGCAGAGGGAATGAAATGCAGGGCCACTATACTGTCTGTGGAAAAAGGAGCTGCTGGGGTTTTGGTCCAGATGCAGCTGGTTTAATGACACTTCTCAAAACCCATAGTCCAGGCGCACCGGCTCAGTCCAGGGCCACATGTAATGCGGGTATGGATTAATAGAGGCAAGTTATCACTTGTAGGTGTGAGAGGTTGTCTACTGTGTCCTCATCAATGTAAGAATAGACATTTTTGGGGATAACGCTGTATGTTTCCAGTATGAAGAAGGTAACCAGAGGAACCTTAACTTCTCAAATAATTCATATTCTGAGGGGGTTCTGAGTACTGTCCCCCTAAGTAGGTTCAAATGCTTTTATGTTTCAGTTGTTCTGGCACCGTTCACATGGTCCTGTGAGTGACCATGTAAAATACTGAGGAGAAGCCTAAAACTAAGCATGCTGATGTTGCTCCCTTATTCTCTTGTGCCTCCTAAATGTCCTGGTCTTGGCATTATCTTGAGCACTAAATGTGGATAGACATGCTTACAAATAGCTTTTTGCTGATTTCTTAGTTAACGTCTTCAAAAATGGGAATTTTGCAAATGGATTAGCTCTTCAGCATCCACTTAGGATTTTTTTAGACTCATCTTTAATGTGTCTTCAAAGACAGAAATGCAATTTCCTCTTTTGATTGCGTGTTGGCCATCTTTGTTCACCGTTTTATTAGAAGAGATAGGAAGTGATCTTTATTAAACTGTTTATAATGTGTGAGCTTCCTCCTTGCTACTTCTGAAGAAGAACTGGCAGGAAAATGCCAACTTTAGTGGTCAGAGACCACTGTGGGACTTGGACTGAGAGGCACAACACACTCATTTTAGAGTTATTCTTCCAGGGCCTCTGCAGACTCCAGCAGACATCAGTTTATGCACCGCTAATGTAATCAGGGTTGTATCTGTAGCTGTAAAGAATAACACAAGAAAGAGGTTGTATTATTATTTTTTACTCAAGCTGAAATTTCTGAACAGTAATATAATAAAATGCAAATCCTACAGCCATAGATTCACAAAAGGACTATGCTCTTTGCCCTAGGACTAGTGTTGTGAATTTTGCAGCACAGCTCTAACCCCAGTTCCTGAGTGCAGGTTTGCTGCCTGGCTGCTGCCTGCTGCGCCCGCACAGTGCACAGATTATGGCACGGCAAAGCAGAGGGAATCACAGACTGAGCTGCCAATCTGATTCAGAGTGGATGGTCAAATAAAAGGTGGGAAACTGTTACATTTATGTGAACAATCAAAGGAGTTTGAGGGGACTCACTTAATTTTATACAGTGAGGAGGCTTCCCTTGCTGTTGTCCATCCAGTGGGAAGTTCCAGTTTGAGTGTGCCAGATTTCCCTAAGTATAACTTGAACCTGCTGTTCAGATGTTACTGTGAGGCATAACGTAGGTTGTTACACTGAGATTTGTTGTTGTTATTGTTGTTGTGGTGGTGCTGTTTAGATGACACTGCAAATGAGATAAATTGTAGCTCGGGGGGGACGACACGACACCTAACCAAATAAAGGGAAGGTTGGTGAAGCATCTCTTGGAAATCTGTTTTTCTGAAAATCATCCTCAGCCTGGATATTTTCAGAAAGTTTCCTTTCAAACAGTCCTAAGTACTCACTCCTCCAATTAAGATTAAGAAGAACAAAGGGAAGTAATTTTTTTCTGCCAATTCAGTGCTATATTTGATAGCTGAGGGCAGGCGAATGCTCTTGTGAATCTTAGCTTTCAGGTTGCTGTTTCATACCTTCAATAGGTAAATGATAATTTCCCAGAGATATATGGGGGGGTTTGAAATATTGATGTAATGAGTATACACAATAAACAGTTGTGTTCTTCTGTATCTGATCTTCCCTATTCTGTATCTGTGTACTATGACAAAGTTTGCTGCATAAATTAGACTGGATTTGCTTCCACTGGGTCTGCCTAGTGATGGTGGCTGGAACAGGCTGTACATTTGGGACCTCTTCAGATGTATCACTATCTAAAAGTGAGTTGGTCTCGCTTGGCACTCTTTTCATCCCAATTTGTGGTCAATCTGTACCTGAAATACAGAGCTTGGGACTTTATTCTCATTTACTTTGGCTTTTAATTTATTTTAGCTTTGTAATGTTTTCAGTTAGTGTATGATTAGCGTATGTGCCAGTATCTGATAAATACTGAGAACTGAAAGTAGTCTTTTAGCCCAAAGTGTCTGAAAACTTTTGCTGTATAGGGTGCAGATATTAAGTCCGTAATAAGTTTATCTCAGCAATTCCTACTCGTTAACCGTAACAGCAAGAGTTGGAATTGATGGAGCTTTATGAAAGGCATTTATCACTAGTGTATCAACAGGCAAGCTTTGTGGTACGGGTGTCTGGTGACCTGTTAGCTCTGATTCTCTTTTCACTGGAAAAGAAAATTCAATGCAGGGGTAGTTTGGGCTACAAAATATGATGTGATCAGCCGGCAGGGTCCCAAAAGTCAATGTAAGGTTCTCCTGGGTCTGTAATATCATTCCAGTAACCAGGTGTTTGGAGTTAGACTTCTTGCTTTGCAGGACTGTTGAGAAATTTCCAACTTTTTACAGTCTCCTCTTTCCAGTAGCCCACGTCATTTTCAGCCAGAAACAATTCATATAGCTGTATATACTATATGCTTTGTTTTTTAGAAGTCTTTGAATCTGTGTGTTTACACACCAATTTTCAAAGAAACATTTCTTTTAGCAAAATACAAAAATGTAACAAGTTGATAGTCTCAATAATCGTGTTGAATACTGTGGAATTAGCTTAGAATAAGTTTTTCCTCCTTAAAATGAGATTATATTTGTGCCTGGATCAAGCAATTCTGCACCAGTCTTGAACTTGTTAAAGATGAAAATCAGAATAACCACTGCAATATTGAAAAGGTAAAATGAGAACAAAATGGCATTTGGCCAATGTTTATGAATCACAGAATATGATCATGAAATCATAAGAATAACCACCAAAAGGTAAATAAATTACCCAGCCTACTACTTATTTTCATGTACAGTTTGACACAAAAGCTGAAGCCATGAATGATTTATACCTGTTTTAACAATAATACTCATTTTCCTGAAAGATGGTCAGCACTCAGGCTGCTGTGGGCACCGTGCCAGTTGTTGAAAGGTTAATGTCTCAGCAGCAATACATTAAATTATGAATTATACCAGTCCCAAAATGGAAGGTTATTAGCTCAGTATGTTTAATTAGCCCGGCTCGAACTTTGCCATCTGCTAGCACTGCCCATCACTAATGCACGGCCATGTGGAATAGGAGGGCTGGAAATAAGATGCCAGAAGCAGGAGACCTAACCATGCAGCCTAACCTCACCTGCTGAGCCTGCCCAGGATGCCGATGCTCTGAAATCCTTGGTAGGTCCAAAGGCTCATCCACACGCCTGGCTCAGGTGATGTCCTCCTTGGTAACAACCAAGCTGCTGCACAGACCACACTGAACGTTGCAGAGAGTTCAGGAGTGCGAGGAAAACACATCTTGTTTTCTCCCGAGTCCTTAGGGCCAGTTCTCCTGCCAAAGCATTTAACTGATGTTTGTAAATTCTCATTAGAGTTGTGTCCTGGTTACATCACAGACCTTAAAATGAGAGGAAAAGGAAGAAAGGTGAGGGCCCAACATGTACCCGAGCAATGAATGTGCTAGAAAAAGAGGTGCTTTCCTAGGGAGAGGTCTGGAGCTGCAGTGGCCAGAGGCACTGGCAGCATTGCCATGGCTGGGTCTGGAACACCAGGGCGTCCTGCAGGCCAGTGCTTGGATATGTAGGAAGCAGCAGCTCGTGGTGGTTTTATTTGCACAGCATCTCTTGCCAATAACTGCACAAGGCTACAATATTTAGTTTTTCAATAAATATTTACATTTTACCTCTTTGCTTATTTATTTTTTAAAAGAACAAACAGTAAATTCTGTTGATTTTTTTATTGGTTAAGATTACACGATACTTTTAAAATATGATGCACTAAGTATCACCATAAGTAATTATTCACCTTTATTATGAGGGTGCTTTTGGGGGGCTATGTGTTAAAACTCAGGTCAGAAGTGTGCCTTGGAAAGTAGAATGTACAAGCATGGGGGAAGAAACGAAGTCATAAGAAGCCAAACACAGTCTTACTTTTAATTCTTCTTTTTCTAGGTAGGATAACCTTGCCAAGGAGGAAAGGAATTTGGACAGACTTAACAGACAGCCTGTGCAGCTTCCAGTAGCTGGACACTAAAATGAAGAGAGAGTTTATTCATTCTCATCCCGACACAGCCCACCAGAATTAAAAGACGTTTTAACCTACAAGGGAGATTGGGTCAAACACTTACTAATCCACCCCAACCTGTCTACATAAAGAAGCCTATTTGATTCCTCTGGCTATCAAGTCTCCACATTTCTGTGTTGGATGTGAAGAGTAAAGAAAGAGTCTGGCAGAAATCAGAAGGTGTCCAAGTCAGCGTAACAGACACCACCAGGTAGAGGCTCAATTCCTTTTTCTTAATTTTCTTACAGTAATTATTTCTTCTCCTCTCCTTGAGTTTTTGCTGATTCCCTCTTCTTCACATTAGTAAAGCCTCTGTACTTGTACTTCTGGAGCAGGTGGCATGGTTGGAATATCGGAGCAATATGTATTAGAGTAAAACCTGCAGACAGAAATAGAAAGTAAACGGAAGATGAATTGATCAGAGGAAAGGCAAAGGATAGAGGGGATAAAATAAAGGGAAGGAAAGACAAGAATAATACCTTGCCTGTGTACTACAGTAATTTATTATTTTTATATGGTGCCCAGGGTGTACAGTATCTGTTTTACTGAACAAATGGAAAAAAGAGTTCTCAGCCCCAAACAGCCAACATATTAATTTATAATGTGACAGCCTGACGAAACAAGTAGTCAGGCCAGTGCGACAAGGAATAATTTAGTGCTTGCGGAGCATGAGTTACTTTACTTTGGTATCCTCATATGTGTATGCCATCAGATGGAAGTCTCTTGGTTTTGTAATAACTTACTATAGAAGAAAAATTTCTCTTTCAGGAAAGTTCTGAGTGAGGGGGCGTGTCTGAGGGCATGGGCAAGTGTTTTATCTGGAGGAGCAAAGAGGCTGCTATTTCAATACACTGTGAAAGGAGGAGTGACAACCTGAATCACAGCCTGGCAGCAGAGGCATGAGGGAGCACTGCAAATCCCCCTGCCCGGGGTGCGGGGACGCTTGTAGCGGGCCAAGATGTGGTGGAGAGTAGAGAGGAAAGAAAAGGACTCGGGAGGAAAAACTGGAGCATTTGCTCTGAGCCATCTAGAGCTGGAGTTTCTAATGAGCCATCCAGACGGGACAGCAAGGAGATGACCTGAAACAACATGCTTGAACGGGAGAGGGTTCCAGTGCAAACACAAACCTGCCATGACCACAGAACCAGGGGAGCAATAGCAAAGTTGTTTTCTAACACAGTTATTGCCACTTCAATTGCAGTTTTATTCCAAAAGCAAATTCCAAAGTTTTATGTCCATAAAGGTTTAGACATAAACAAGAAGTCAGGAAAGTGGTATGTACTGTATAAAAAGTTCCACTTTATAATTAATGCTGGAGATCAGGGGAGCAGGAATAGCTGTGCATGTGTGGTCATTCAGATTTACTGTTGGTCTTATTAAAACCTAGTTCTGCAATAATTTTATGCCCAGGTAGGGGCAGAAAGAGAGCAGGATGCCCCCAAGCAACCCATAAATAGTGTGGTGAAGACAAAGCGTTTATTACTTAGCTTCACAAAGGCTCTGTAAGTGCTCTCCCAGGGTATGTATACTTGTACCCCAGATGCCAATTCTGCAAATTAGCATTATTTCTCAAAATACTGTGTAAACAGAAGTCATTTGAATACTTGATTTCATCAGACAGAGTCACACATGGAAACGTCAATATCTTTCTTTCCCTTTTGCGGAGTGAGCAGAGGTTTTCACTGCCTGTCTTTTTATTTCTCTTGGAGTATCGTTATTGATGAAAAAACCTGGCAGGGTCTGGGTTCTATACAGAACTCATTCTGCAGGATTTTGTCCCATCTCATTGCCCTGTGCTGTCTTAAGAGCAACTCTGGGGCATAAACTTTCCCATTTATCACTGAAGTGTGCTATTTTGAATCTTCCGTTTAACAGTTTAAATTACTATGCCAAAAGTTATTTCATGGCTGAGACACATAGGGAATTACAAGGATTTGAGATGCTATCAGATTAGCTTTGGGATGTCCCTTTTTTGTAAGTAGAAAGCCACCAGTAAGTTCAGCTCAGGTTTTGCTGATGGGCTCTTATTTTATCATTGTGCATCCTACAACTATAAGTTGTTCAAATTTTAGAAACTTGCACAATTGTTTTAATCCATTTTTGTATTGCATTTCATGTAGAAACAGGTACCTTAGTTAACAGGATAACAGTAAAACAGGGTGAGAGAGACCCATAAAATCATCTTTACATGACAAAATTGTTTTCCTAGATAAAATATAGCGGATGAAAAGGTGAATATGTCTGGATTTTCCAGGGCTAAAAGCAAGTGTTGCATTTTAAGGATGCCTACCTCTCCTGTTCAGTGGGATGAAGATATACATTTAATACTGAATTTTGCAGGATATTGGACTTTAACATCCTTACATTAGAAAAGTTGCCACTGACCAGGAGGCTAGTGCAAGGAGTTGCTGCATTTGCTGGGAGGAAGAAAGCATTTTTATAGCAGTTAATTTATTTTTTAATCATAATTGTTTGGACCTGCTGATGTTTTGAATTGTAAGAATTAATTCCACAGAAATAGGAAAGGAAGAAATGGGCAAGTGAGCGTGATCAGTGGTGCACTGTAAATGGACATGGTTTCGTGGTACTCCATGCAGCCGTCGTCTGCGCGTCTGGAAACGCATCAGGAGACTTTATGCCGACATCACACCTTACGTGCTCTGTTCCCTCACGGCGAATTAGTATTATTCCTATTCTACAGGCTGGGAAAATAGGACAAAAAGCGGAGGAGTGAGTTTTGAAGTCCACCCCCATATGCCTTCGTCTTTGGGCACCTCTAGCATACCCTGCGTACTGCTCTGGCTCGTCCTTCAGTGCAGACAGCAAGTCTGTGGCAGAGCTAGGAACAGAAGCCAGGCCCTTGTTCCAAGTCCCAGATCCTCAGGAGTATTTTTAGGCACTTAATACCATTAATTTCATACTCTTTTTGGCCAAGGATCTTAGAAACAAGATCGTGCTTCCTCCTGAAATAATTTTTAAAATCATACTTATGTGCTCTTGGACAGGTTTTTTTCAGGGATCGTGTACAGTTTAGCCCTATTTAGGAACAAATAGGCTTCAAAATTAGTTTTGGGAAGAGTTCTGCCTGGACTGTGCTTTTGTGCAGCCTCGAAGTATGACTAAGGATACAGAGGAGATGGTGCAGAGTCTTTGTCTTCTGCAGGGCAAACAGTACCTGTTTGAGAGGGGCTTTGGCAGAGGGCAAGGGAGGGCTTCATTTAATGGCCATACGCTTCAGGTTCCTTTTTTGCTGTCTCTGAAAGGCAACATTCTGTGCTTCTGTATCCTCTTTATTTTGGTTGCAACTTCCTTCTCTCAAACACAAAATCTTTTGCATTTAGAATACAGCAAGACCATTGTTCACCAATATTTTGATTAAAATGACACTAGGACACATGGGGCACCCAGAAGCCCCGAGGACAGCAGGCCTACAACACGCTGGAGCTTCTCCAGCCACAGAGGTGCGGCCCTTGCTCGGGCAGCTCACACTGGCATGTTAAAGCTGACTGAAAAGGCATAGAGAAATACATAGATTTCCACATACGATCATATTTTTATTGTGCTAACTCGGCAAACCCAGTTCAAGCCCTGCTCCTGCATCCTATCTATTATTAATTAATTGATTTCCTATAAGCTCATTATTTAGTTCTCTGTGACTTCCTCACAGCGTGCACAGCTTTGCAGACAACGAAAGACAGTTCCTGTCACAAAGCGCAAATGCATCAAAAATGCCAAGTCAGGCAAAGGCAGGAGTGCAGCACAAGCAGAAAACAGGCGAGCGGCCAGGCCGTGGCATGCCACGCCCGGGTTATCCTTCTCTTTTTGGTTACACACCCCAAGATCCCAACAGCTTTTGGCTGTGCACCTTCCGTCCCCTGATCCCCACAGTCGCCTGTTTTGCCCATGCCACATGTCCGTGGCCACGTCCAGCCCGTGTTGCTCCCTGTGGACAGCCACTCAGCGGATGAACTGACGAGCAGAGTGTTTTTCAGTGACTCCCATGTCGCTACCACAGGAAGAGAGGGTGTCAAGGCAGGTTGCAGGGGGCTGATCACAAGGCAGCTGGGGGCCGCCGCTGTGAGGGACAGGGAGCCCTATGCGGGAGGAGCGCAGCTGCCCCAGGACAAGAGTGGGTGAGAAAGGCCTCTCCGGCATTGCACTGTGGAGGCTGCGGCCTGCTCCGGGCGTCGAGGGGCTCCTCTCCCTCGCTCCGTCCAGCTCTGGTGGTAAACGTGCTTATTACAGTGCTAATGTCCTGCAAGTGGAATCCTACCTCCAAGTATATTAGGGTAATGAGTTCACACCTAACTAATGGAGACTTAATAGAGTTACTAATAGGCTGCCTTTTCCCCCCACGGTTTATGACCCCGCGGGCCGGAGCTGTCAGGGGAGGGAGAGGCGGGTGGCCGTGCTCAGCCTGCGCCCCGGCTCGGCCTCCGGCCTCCTGGCCTGCGCCTGGCCCGGCAGCCAGTTTCTAGGGACATCGTCTCTCCACCTTTCTGCGAGGAAAAATAAACAGTTTGAGGCTCCTGTGTCTTTATTAAACATTTCCTTTAAACTGCATACTTTGGCTCCCTGCCCAAATGCACCAAGAAAGCTTCCACAGAGCAGCTCAAGTCCGGAGCTCTGCTGCGGGCTTCCCGGGATAAATAACCCCTGGAGGAGTGAGCACCTGCGCTGCCGGCTGCGGCCCAAGCTGTCCTCGGGGCTGCCGGCTCCCCCGGGCCCGCCAGGAGAGGCTGATGCAGCTGGCTAGACTCCCCACACCGACGGCACCCAGGAGCGGCCCTGGGGAGGAGAGCGAAGGAGGTGAGGAACCGGCAGCGTGGTTTGCCTGGCTCCGCTCTCCGGCACACAGACGCGACGTGGCAGCGAGGTGGGTGGGGAGGTGGCTGCTCTACGGCGGTGAAGTTTGTCCAGTGCTGTGGGCCAAGAGGGTTTGAGTCGTAGGTGTAAAGGGGGTTGGGAAGCTGCTTTGGCTGGGAAGCAAAAGCAACCGTATGTTTAAGCCTGTCACACCAGACGAATGATACGCTGGCGTTAAAAGTGTGCTTCACCCGCCGTTGGCAGCACGGTTGATGGCCGTCAGCATGGGGTCGAGTGCGGGTTGCGTC